CTTGGGAATGTATGAAGGTTAAGCCCTTTGGTACTTGTCTCGTTCCCCTGCCTGCACCTTAAGAACATAAAAGGAAATGGCAATGAACTGTTCTTTATAACTCTTCCTACATTTGAAATGTTTTCAAATTCAGTTCAGTCTTCTTTTCTCCTACATTAATAATCTGCCCTTGTTATGTTTGTTAATCATCTAATTGTTTTTATTGTTCTGCTCAGTACTCGGTTTTTTCATAACTTTCCTGAAGTACCTGGAACAGCACTCCAAGCGAGGCCTTACAAGTACTGAATAGAGTGGATGAATCATTTCCTCTGGTTTACATGCGAGAGTCATGTCAATACCTTCTAGGATGTTATTCGCCCTTTCCCTCTGACAATATTATACGACTCATGTTCCTTTCTTCAGTACTGGAGCCTAGCCAGTCATTCCATGTTTATACGTGCATATTTGATTGTTTATTCAGAAGAGGAGTACTTTGCATTTCTAAGTGTGGTGCAAGTAAATGGTTGATTTGCAGATTATAGCAACAATTATAAAATTGCCACATAATTTAATATCATTTACAGTTGCTACATGTCTGCTATTGTCACACAGTAATGGCATTCAGGGTGATTGGTAGGGCTGTCTGAGCCATTCTGTATATTGACTATCCCACTGTTTGGCACTAATGCAAGCAGCATTTGTATATTCAACCATTAATGGTCATCTCTTAAATCAGATAGTGATATTCTGCAATACAAATAGATACTATTTTCTGTGGGATCTCAAATGATTTAATAGTGCTTATTTATTAGTTGTCTTGACAGATCAAACAGTGAACTAACCATTTTCCTGTTTTCCTATTTTAACATAAGTAGTGGTATTAAGCCATATATTATTTGAGTCTGTCTAAGCTCATTTTTTCTCGTCTTAAAAAAATAAAAATAAAAAGTCAAAATAATTTAGAATGTATGCCTGCCCATGTGGTCACTTTTTAACTCAGTAGTTTCTCCTTGTCATTCCAAAAGTGTTGTGTTAGAACCGCAGTTAGTTATTTTTAAAAGATGCATGAATTTTGCAAAAAATTAAATGGAAAAATGTCTCTCCTTTTGTAGACTGTAAAGAAACTGAATGAAATTCATATGCTGCACAGAGTAAAGTAATAGTAAATATTAAGCTGCTTAAACCCAGAGAAGTGATTGTTTACTAGACACTTGTCTTTCATAGGCATTATTCTATACATTATTCTATTCATGGCTTTCTATCCTAGTGCATGTCTAGCAGTGCAGTGTTGTGCAGAAATAATGTAACAAAGATTAAAAATAAGGTGCCATCTTTCATCCTGTTTTAATTGCTGAAGCCTGCAGTTTGCTTTTCTACCTTTCTTCCAAGAGACCCATGCTGCCCTCATTGCATCTCACGTGAAGTACAGATTTTATGTTGTTGTGCGCTGTTGACAAACTTGTCTTCCTGCTTTTTACTACCCTCGATGGACTTCAGTTACTACTTCCTCTCCATTTCTTCTTGCTGTGCTGTGAATGACCTTGAACTCATCACTTGAGACCACTGGCTAGACCATGTCCTGGGGAAGGATGCCCTCGAACATTCCCCCCCACCACTTGCCCAGTCAAACCTGGAAATGCAGCAGTGAAGCCTCCCTATGATCCATGCCCCATAGCCATTCTAAACACCTCGGTCTCTAAATGTGCTTTAAAGCAGCTGTGGGGAAACACACCTGGAGATATCTGACTGTTTTTTTCCAGGTTAGGTTTGTGATGAAGGGAATAGGTGGGCAAAACATAGTTGAAAGTTTCTTTTTCAGGAAAACTGGGAATGTGGTATAAGTGTATCCTTGAGTTTTGTCTCAATTCTCCCTCTGGAAAAACAGTACAGGCATACCTCGTTTTATTGCGCTTCGCTTTATTGCGCTTCACAGATATTGCGTTTTTTACAAATTGAAGGTTTGTGGCAACCTTCATTGTTGTCTTATTTTAAGAAATTGCCACAGCCACCCCAACCTTCAGCAACCACCACCCTGATCAGTCAGCAGCCATCAACGTCCAAGCAAGACCCTCCACCAGCAAAAAGATTATGACTCGCTGAAGGCTCAGATGATGGTTAGCATTTTTTAGCAATAAAGTATTTTTTAATTAAGTTATGTACATTTTTTTTTAGACATAATGCTATTGCACGCTTAATAGACTACAGTATTACATAACTTTTATATGCACTGGGAAACCAAAAAATTCGTGTGACTCGCTTTATTGCGATATTCGCTTTATTGCAGTGGTCTGGAACCGAACCTGCAATATCTCCGAGGTATGCCTGTATTCTACTTAGATTGCCATAACATGGATGGTTTTAAAATGTTCATTGTTTTATTTTTAGGGAGTAACAGGTGCTTTGGCTGTTTTGATGAAGGATGCAATTAAACCAACACTAATGCAGACATTAGAGGTAAGTCCAGTGTATTAATCTTTTGGGGGTTTTCCTTTTTTCCTTGTTTTAAAGTTCTGTGTTATACTTGTCACTGTTCTAGCTATAGAAGGTTGTGCCCTAAATAATATTGTTCAAATCAGGCTGAGCGCTACAAGAACATTTTCACAACTATTAATTTTAATATATAACTAATTACTTTCAGTCATGTTTGTCTCCATGCTTTTCCTCTGCATGAATCTTTTGAGCTCTACCATGAGTTCTGAGCTAACTGTAATGCACTGTTGTTGCACTGCTGCTGGAACAAACTAGAAGACCTGTCATACCTCTCATCCGTAACTTACTTTGCTTACCTTGTTCCATTCTCATCATGGTACAATGAGAAAGTTTAAAAAATAATAATAATGGCTGTATTTTTAGAAAATTGTAATAGACACCCAAAATCTAATTTATTAGTTGTGAATTTATTCATTCAACTCTACTAGAAACACTTTTGGCTGAAAAAATATTTTGGGTCATATTAGAAATATGTGTACCACATGCAAGGGAGTAGTTTAGTTTATTTTTAAGTCTGAAAACAGATTTATATTTTTGAAAAGCTTGTGTTCCGAAATATTTTAACAGTGTTGATACAGACAACTCCTTTTGCCCTGAACAAGTTGGTAGCTACAGAAAGGTAGTAGTAGAGTCCTCAGTTGATAAAAATTTCCTATATCATCCATGAGCTTTCGAAGCATTAGCAACATTTTCACTTGCTGGGTGAATGTTTATATTATTACTTAAAGGGGAAAATTTGGTATAACAAATTTCTGTTTCACCCATGGTATATTATGGTGCAAAAATAGGGTTTAAATTATGTTGTGCTTTTGATTGTAACCAACCTTCTCTTAGATTAATTGGTTTCTTTTACAAAGCTCTTTCTCTCATGTGACTGTATTTTAAAAAGAAAAGTTTGAACGCGTTTCAGTATACAGCATAACATCCAGTAACACAAATAGCAGATCACTTAGAAACAAAAAAAACCTCTCAGAACTTGGGGCACTAAATTTCTATTATTGACAAACTTTTGTGTATTAAAGCATTAGATACAATGTAGCTTTCGAGTCTGCTGACTAACCTATGTCATTCTGTAAGCCATGTGTATATCTGTTAGGAAATGGCATTGTGTGAAAAGCTGTGGTTTTGCTTTATTTTAATAGAAAATTATAAATGTCAGCATGGTTTAATTTGATTGATGGGCTTTTGGCTATGGGAGCAATATGCTTTTACTTTTCAGCTATTTTTCAGTATATTTTTTATTCACGCTTCTAAACCATAATGATTTCTGCTTTTTATGTAGTTTACTCTTTCTGACCCAGTTAATACAACAACTGAAACATCTATCACCACTACTGATAATGTGGTTTCAATACCATTTTAATATCCAGGGATAGTTTTTCCTGAAGCTTATACTGTAACATAATTTTTTTTAAATCAACCAAATCTAGTACTAAAGACTGCCTTACTTCCCAGTCGTGCAGTCAGATCCTCATTAGCAGATTCTTGTGCCCCTTTGTATTCCTATAAATTCCAGTGCAAATTTATCAGTAATCTACCCAAGCACAAATTCTCCTCCCTTTAACTCTGTCTCATTGCCTTCCCTATGAAAAAAGGTTGAGCTTTCTTGTTGGTCTCTGTAGATCCCACAGCCTCCAGTCTCAGAACTTTTTTGTATAGAAGTGTCCTTGGGCAACACACACGCCCTAGGCTACTTCATGTTTCCATTCAAGGCCACAAAGGGCAGGAGAGCCTTACTGCCCCAGGGAAACTAGGGATCCAACATCCCTTGTTTCTCTTTCTTCTTTAGAAACAGATGTTTCGAATCCCTTTGACATTGAGGGATGGAAGAAAAATACTATCTAAGAAGGCAGTACAAAAGACTGGGAGACTAACATTGGTACCAGTGGCTAATCTATTACCAACACACTTATCTTAGCTTCGTAAGAGGCACCTTTGCTTGAAGGCCCTGGCACTGGACCCAAATCCAAAGGTACTGATACTCCTAGAGACATGCTTCTCTCTCCTGTCTTTGAATCATCAAGCAGAAAATGCTTGTCCCATTAGAAATAATAGAAATGTGGCTGACAGGCACAGTGCATCAAGACTGTGCTTTAAAAAGGCACCTGATATTTTGAAGAAAATCCTGGTGAATATAGCAGGCTTTGAGGAAATAGAGTTCTTCAACAACCGGACAGGAGCCAAAGAGGGAACTGGAGTTCTCCACTGGCTCCACTGTTTCTCTGTTCTGTAACATTCTGTACCGTACATATTGACAGAGAATACCTTAGCCATGCACTAAAATGGGCAAGGGGGGCCCCATGCTTTTTCTCTCTCTCCCCATCCTGCAGAGAAGCCATCAAGTTCTTGGAATGGTATCATTGGCCTGGCATAACCTCGATAGCTTTATACTTCCTCCAGCAGTCAGCAGTGACCTGGCAATGGTCTTGAGCAGGTAATTCATCACCAGCCACGGGCTGATTCCTATAGGGAACACCTATCACAAGCTTAATGTTCCATCAGTGGGGACACACTGATAAACATGTTTGTAGGCTTGTGCAAGTTGTCAGTGATCCAATCTGGCTTTGGATCTGGCTGCCTCTGGACCAGGTTCCTGCTTCGATCCGGCCAAAGCGGCTCCGAAGCTTCAGAGCCACCTTGGAGATCCGGCCATAGGGTATAATGAGGAATCAATGAAATATCTATAACTTTGTTGTTGTTTGTATAATTTGGATGAAACTTGTGGGGATGGTAGCCCCTGCTGAGAGCATAAAGTCTGCCAAGTTTCAAGAAGATCGGTGCAGGGGTTTGGGGGCAACTGTACCCCAAATTCTTGAAAGCAAAACTCATGTCAGGTGTATGTGTTGCAACACAGGGGGGTCAAAACTGCAGGGGTGGTAGCTCCTGGTGAGGCCAAAAAGCCTGCCAAGTTTCAAGAAGATTGGTGTAGGGATTTAGGGAAAACTGCACCTCAAGCTGCGCACAAGCAAAACTCGTGACATGGGTGACTGTGTTAAGGTGCAGCAGGATGAAAGGTGCAGGGATGGCGGCCCCTGCTGAGGCCACGAAGCCTGCCAGCTGTCCAGGAGATCAGTGCAGGGGGGTTCTGTGGCCCTGCGCCTCTGGCTACTGACAGACAAAACTGGTGACGTGGGTGCTTGTGCAACTGATTTTCTCTGTCTTGGTGGATTTGATTGTATTGATTATTTCCTCTCCTTAGTCTCTGCTTTTGTAGATGTTAATTCATCATAATTAACTGGCTACATTAGTTAGCACTGTGTATTGAGCTGGTCCCTGAGTGAATCATGATTGATTGGTAACAAAGTAGCTTAGCAGCGAGGCCTGCAGTAGTCTCTCCCAGGCCCTAAGACAGACACAGTTGCACAAGCACCCATGTCAAGAGTTTTGTCTGTCAACAGCTAGAGGTGCAGGGCTCCAGAACCCCCCTGCACCCATCTCCTTGACAGCTGGCAAGCTTTGTGGCCGCAGCAGGGACCACCATCCCTACAGTTTTCAGCCCACTGTGCCTTAACACACACACAGTCACCCATGGCATGAGTTTTGCTTGTCGTCTTGAAATTTGGCAGGCTTCGTGGCCTCACCAGGGGCTACTACGCCTACAGTTTTTACCCCCTGTGATGCGTAACACATAGATGTGACCTGAGTTTTGCTTTCAAGAATTTGGGGTGCAATTCCCCCTGAACCCCTGCACCAATCTTCTTGAAACTTCACAGGCATCATGCTCTCAGCAAAGACTACATTCCCTGCACATTTCATCCAAATCAGACAAAAAACAAAGTTATAGATATTTCATTGATTCCCCATTATACCCTATGGCCAGATCTCCAAAGCAACTCTGAAGCTTTTCTGAACCTCTTTGGAAAGCCTAACAAAGCCAGCACTTTGGTCCAGATATGCTGCTTCGGACGCCGAAGCGTCCAAAGCTTCTGTGGATCCGAAGCTCTGTCGGAAGCCTCGCACAGCCCTACGTGTTTGCAGAGGAGCCAACACGTTTGTCAGAGACCCATTGAGGGTCCTGAGGAGCAACATTTTGTGTCTAGATTCCTTTTCAAGCAGTCGCTGCTGGAACTTTCCTTCTGCTGTGGAATTAAGTCTTCCTCTACACCCATCCATTTATTCCCAGACCAACAGTCAATGCCAGACAGAATCAGGTCATGCTCATCAGCCCTAGTGACTGAGTTTTGGCTGACCAACCTGATACAGATGTCCTTGCAGCCAATTATCTGATTTCCTGGCCATCAAACCTTTTGTCTCAGACCATGGTTAGTTCTTCCATCAGGCCCACAGCCTCAGCAGTTGATGGTCTGGTTAAGTACTACAGAAAGGGGGAATGCAACCTACAATATCACAAAATTCTGATAAAGGATGTGAAAAATTTCACCAGAAGAGCTAATTGCTAAGTAGAAATAGTGGTGGTTATGGACTGCCCATCATCCCAGTACTGAAGATCCTTGATTATTTGCTGAAGGTAGGTTGCTACTGGAACTCCT